CTCAACACAATATTCCTAAATAAAATCTATTTTTCGCGTACCCTAGTAAGTTTTACAAGAACTATATCGGAAACTGTAAGTGCGTTGGTCTCTTGGTGTTAGGTATTGTTTTCTATTGTCAATTGTGATGTTTACATTTTAGCAAAACGTGGAATAAGTAAGTTTGATATAACCTAACCCTTTTACTACATTTTTAGGTGAGAGATTTTCATTTATTTTATTATTATTAACTGCTACATCTTTTTTTGTATGCAGTTAGGCTTAAAATTGAGATTTTAAATGCAGCACAGTCTAAGCCTAACTAGTACTAGGAATAGTACTACTAGTGTGCTTGGATTTTTTTATACATAATAATGTATACACATGTATATCTTTTCTCACATTGAGTTTTTCCATCCTAAACTTAGAAATTTTGTACAGTTTCAGAAATAACATGATAATGTGGGCAGCATCCTGTAATAAAGTAAATACAGTTCCAAAACTACATCTTTTGATATACATATATAATTATAACTATATAAGTAACTTATACTGTTGTAGTACTTAAATTGTTCATATGACTTAGTCAGAAGTGTAGGGCACTTAGTAAAGTGTGAATGGATAAGTATTTTGCAGAGAAGTAACTTCACACCAATTATGTTACAAAGTGACTAAAGTAAAGAAAATACTTTGGTGACTCTGGTAATTTCTTTGCAAGAAAAGTTATTCATTATTAAAGAATATTAGGAGAGTTCATTGACATCAAAATAAGTGTGGTGTAAAGAATATTTGGGCCTACACACATATACCCAAAATGACTAAGGTAAGGAAAATGCTCTGGTGATTATGATAATTTCTTTGCTCCATGACAAATATATATATTATTAAAGAAGAATATCAAGCAAATTCAACAACATCAAAATCAGTGTGGAGCAAAGAAAATAAGGTACTATAATATACACATGAATAACAGCTTTGTAAGAATATCTGGAAACAAACAAATCATAGAAAGCTTTTGTTGTATACTTAATAATCTTATGTACTCAAGGTAATCTTGTCACATGTTTGTAATTTGTAGCTACATATAATGTTTTAATATTCTGTATCATGGAGTGTTTTATTATAATTTTGATGTAATTTCAACATGTAAATAATATGTTATCATAAGTGTAAGTTTTTGTAAATGTTTATTATTTATATATCTTAATATTCAATGAAAAACTTTTTTTGCCCTGCCTACTGGTGGAGGAATGATATTTTTGCTAGGATATGCCAAATTTTGTATTTAGTTTCTGGTACTTTCTTATGAAGTTTTTCTATTAAGTCTTTTTAGAAACAAGTGTGTTATGTACTTTGTTATTTCCCTCTTCCCCCATGTGAACATAAAGCAGATTACAGCTAAACAAAAGTATGCTAGTGTATAATTTATTTATTGAAGAAAAATAACTAGGCCAATTTCATATAAAGATATGTATTTGTATTGTTCTTGAGGTTATTTCCATTGGCTTATGAGTCTTGTTTGAAAAAGTTGTACTTAGTGATTCCCTAGATTTTTTAATATGTAGAAGGTTTTTGCTTGTAGGATATGATTGCATGAAGTAGTGAATATGAACCAGTATTTAACTATGAAAAGACTGAGTATGATGCTTGCTTTTCTGAACCACTGCTGTATGTATTAACAATTGTTCACATGATTGAAAAGTTTTGTTATAATCATGAACTATTCATGTAGCTTAAAAAATAATAGTAAAGTTCTTTTACTTAATATTATTATAGGATAATGAGCTGTTCATGAAACATATAGGTGAGGTTCATGTAACAAATCCTTTATTCTAGCCGAGAATAATATAAATGTTAAAACTGGGATTTGTAAAAACAAAACAGGATAATTTATTGAAATTCTGACAATTAAAACAAAATATACTCAATTTAAAAATGCCAGGACTTGATTTTTACAAACAGCACATCTAAACATCAGAGAACTTCTAATTCAGCAATATAAAAAAATCAGAAAGCAAAATCCTAACTTTGAAAAGTAATCTAAAAATGTGTTTCATAATACAACACTTTAAACTGACTTTCAAGCAGTATCCAATCTTTTCTTTAGCATCTTCCACTTCAATCTTCATTTTTTGTGTGCTCTATACTTTATCACCAAATGATGAGATTACAAATCAACTTATATATGTAGAGTGACATAGCTGTTTTGACTATAGCTGGTGAGACAAAAGCCACAGCACCACCTACTGTCAGTTATTGTTTTTTACTGTAAAACTTGTATTGCTCTGTCAGGGTGCAAGTCAACATTATGTCATAAACAAGCACAAGAGAAAGCTTAACTAAATGATAAAGGCAAAGGTACATAAGTATGAACATATTCATTATTAAAAAATGGAAGGAATACCATCTCACATTCACTTCATATGGTTACTGTTTTCAAGGAAGGTTAAATACTCTTAAGCATATAGTACTAGGGAAATTATCATATACGTGCTCATTATTTTTCAAGACATAATGCAATCTGGAAAGAGTACTAAATTCCTTTATATTTTTTCTGAAAACATTGTGACTTTTATGAAGAAAAAATGGCTTACTTAAATTTTATTTCTTTTTTTATATGTAGAAGTGAATTAAAAAATTTTGCAGAAAAGTATATTTGTGTTTTTTCACAGGATGTCCACCTGCAAAAAACAACAACTAAGTGTGTATTAGGCTCATCAGTGATTAGAATGTTTATCAATAGTTAAAAAGTTTGATAAGTGGCTTAGCATATTATTTGAAACTTCATTGGATATGTAGTGAAAAATGAAAAGTGTTATATATTTAAAAAATAATTTCACTGAAGCATAAAAAATACATATGATCATATTCTGTGAATCTGCAAGAAAAGAGAGAAATAGAAGGTAACACCAGTTTTAAAAAAACAAAGCTAATGAAAGTTGAAGTGTTTGTAAGTGTTAGAATTAAATTTAGGGCTAGACAATATGTTTGTTATTTCTATACTTTTTATACTGCTATTTTTTATGTTTGTAGTTTAAAAAATTTAACCAACACAAGAATAACATCTCAAAGAACAGGGTTAATAGACTGGCAGCATGGGAGAAGAAAGAGATTTTGATAGAGGTAAGTTTCTTTACTTAACGGTTTTGTTTATAGATCTAAGCTTATGTATAACCATACTGGCTTAATGAAATGTAATAGTGTATATACTGTTTTTTTCTATTAATATATGCTTGATTCTACCTGCTTTAAATTGGAAGCTCAGATTTTTTCTTGCCCTCTATTTATGTACTTTTATAAGTATGCTCGTTGCCATCTTGCCAAGTTTGTCATATTTTGGAATTTAAACTTATTTGACATTTGCTCTAATTACTGAAATTTATATTTTTTGGGGTGAAATTAACATTTTTTTTTGTATTTTTCTTGATTCAACACTTGCACACCTCTCACACATTTTAAAGTTCACATGAAATTGTCCACTTGGTTATACTAGGGTATTGTTTACTCATCCAAGTAGATGATTGTTTTCAAAGAAATTTACCTAGAATTTTCTTATTTGTTTTTACTTTGTATGTTGATAAAATATACATATATATATTTATAAGAAAGCTATACTGAGATGAAGAATGTTGGTAGAGGTTAATAACAGTTTGCAGATTCTAGATTGCCCAACAAGTAGGTTTATTTCCTTAATAAATTTCACGTTTGGTTTACATGGTATTAATTATGAGACCTCAAGACTAATTTATGTCTTCTTGATTATAATAAAAAATAAATAAAATAGGAAGTTTTACTAAACTTTTATCAGCAAGTAATTTCTAAATTACGATTATCAATTACAATGACTTTTAATAAATTAAGTTAAACGTTGAAGAAAACCATAACATTTTGTCAAATGTACATATATATGAACTCCTTTTTTTTATTTCTAACTTTCAGAGCCCGTGTCGAAAACCTTTACAGCTAATACATTTACTTTAAAATTAAAAATTTATGTGTATTTATGACATGAACCTATTCAGAATTATCTATAGTTCCTGAACTAAAGTGGTTTAGCCCTTTCTACTATGGTGGCAAGGTATAGCCATTTCTGTATTTTCATTCATGTGTATTTATGACATGAACCTATTCAGAATTATCTATAGTTCCTGAACTAAAGTGGTTTAGCCCTTTCTACTATGGTGGCAAGGTATAGCCATTTCTGTATTTTCATTCATAAAAATTAACTGATAAATGTCACCATATCTAGACACTTCAGACATAAACCATTGAACATTTGTGAGCCTAAATTTTATTGCTCTTTTTAAATTTACAATTTTTAATGAAACACTAAACACTGTGCAATGTTGCTGCAAATTGTGCAATAAACCCATTACTGCTAACTTGAAAGCCAGGTTTCAGTTTACACATGTAATTGTTTTACATATTACACAGATTATGTGACTCAAGAGGTATTGATGTTTCTCGTTTGTTCTTATACTAACTTACTCATTTCACAAAATACATGATTGTCTCATAAAAAGAAGTTTGTTTTTAATAGTTATGACAACTTTTATAGTACATTACATTAAAACAATTTTGAATGTTCAAAGCTGTAAATCACTGACAACCACAGCCAGTATCAATTCACAATGAAATAACATGTGACATTGTTGGACACTTCGTAAGTAGCATGATGCAACTGAAAACTGATTGCTTTTGGGAAATGTATGTAAGAGCCTTTTCTGATTCAAGCTGTTCATACACTGAAATCTTGAAGATGTATTCAGATTGGGAATATAGTATTTCCAAGATAGGGATATCTCTTGTACTTAATGGCTTTGGAAAACAAGGAAGATAGATGAACTTGGAGCACCAGGACCAACCAGAAATAGACCTGCCACAATGTAACTCAGCTGTAGTAAGCCAAGTACAGTGTCTTGTAACAGATGAGTGAGAATCCACAAACACAAATGTCACTGGCAAAAGGCATACACATGCCCCAGGCAACAGTATGCAACATAATTAAGAATGATCTCCATCTGGTAAAGTCATATAGTTGCTTCCATGACATAGCTGTTTAACCATTACATACATCAAGCAGCTGGAGTATGAAATGTGTATTCATGCTATTTCATGTGAAGACATAGCAGTGAAGTCACTAGTCATAGCACCTATGGATTTCTGAGTGATCGAACTGTTGAAATGGGCTGTGAAAAACTATCATCCTCATACCACTAGATGGATTATGAAAAATGAGCAGGGGAAGTGGTGTGCTTTGGACATGGTCTTTTTTTTTCAATGGAAAACATGCCTCAAGGCTATTGTCAAGATACATGGTTCTTGGTTATTCTGTATCTTTATTGTTCCAACTAAATACACATTTGTGAGTATAAAAAATACAATCATATGCCTAATAATATTTGGGTTAGCTCTTTGAAATATACAATAAGATATGTCATATATATATATAATTAAAAACTAATATAAACAAATAGTTTCATTTTATTGTAAAAGCTACCTCTGTACTTTCTTCTATAAATTATGCAAAGCTGTTTCAAAAAGACCTTCCACCCCATCTTTAAGCTTATGCTGGGGCAAAATCCACTGTAAGACTTCATTGATTTCAGGTTACTCTGGGAGTTTTTAAAGTGAAAAGCAAGTGTCAAAGCAATTATTTCAAAAAATAAACGAACTCACCAAACTATGATATAATTGGATTATTTAAAGTTTTATTATGAAAGAAAGGCTTTTGACATAACTATTAGTTTTGGCATTTAAACCTTTCATATCAGGTTAGTAAAAGTGCATATCACAACCTTTTCCAGGGTTACATTCAAAATTTAATTAAACAAATTATTATCAATGTATACTAATAAACTTGGCATTGAAATGTAGTTAATAAATCAGATCTTAATATTATATAAGGTTTAATTCTTAATTTGAGAAGGAAATATTTAAAAAATCCTCAATCTCCCCTAGTATAAAAATTGTGACATTTTCTCTCTAAGTCTTCCCTCTTCTCTAATTTATTTACCACCTCTCCAAGAAGTACAGAAGTTAATGGAAATTACTTATTATAATATAGATATTACTCAGGCAAATCATGTCTTTTATATATCATTTATTTATGGAGCCATAAACTAAAAATCAGACCCACTTGCCATGCCCATCTGTAACATCCTCTCTTTCACAAATTGCAAATAGTTGTCTCTGACATTTTATACTATATTATTTATAACCAATAGAAAGGCAAAGTTTAATGAATCAAATGACATATTATGTTGTTTTCCACACAGAGAACTGTCTATTTCATCATTCGGTTTAAAAAATGTTTCTCACAGGAATCACATCAAAGAGATTAGCTGAATTTTTAAAGGCTCGTATCGTATAGTTAGAAAACCATAAAAATTATGATAGTTAAAGAACATTGCTTGTTTTTTGCACGTTATTATTCTGTGTTTTTAGGTTATTATTTAATTAAATAAAAATTTAGTGTAGTGGTACCATTAGAATATAAAAAAGAAAATCCAGGTAAGTACTTATATTTCTTGTTCTTCATGTGTATTCTCTATTTATTATTATAAAAGTAACTAAAATGTAAAAATTTGAAAATTATCAGGCAAGATAATAAAAAAAATAATTCTTCATGGGGTATGCTTGTGAGTAGCTCGTGTGTTATGTAATTCCATATGGTAACTTGAACTGTACATTTGCAGGATTATTAGTCAGACTTGGTTCAAAGGTCAATAAAATTATGTTTAAATAGATGTATAATGTTATGAGCTTTAAGCTGTTTTGAATAAACAACTGTGGTTTCCTGCTACAATTTACAGTCACTCTAGAAAAAAAGATGGAAGTTTAGATTTATTTTCTACTTTTTGTATGGTTATGAGGTCAGTCAAACTGATAGGCGCCCGTATAGAGTTATGGTAGAGAAAATAACAAATAAAATTTAAAGTTTTTCTGAAAATTTGTTTGATATTTATTAATTAAGTTTTAGAGATAATGCAAATGAAATTTGAAAATTTTCACACGAAGAAAAGTATTTTTTAATCATAACATGAAAATCACTTTGTACTTGGAGCAGTCAACACTCTGACTCCGTATCTTTATGGAGAAGTTTTTAGTAAAATTATTCAATTAAAAATTCTGATTTTTTTGTCTACAACAGACTTGTAAGGTTTACTGAAAACCTGCCAAATGTCTTGAAGTTACATTAAGTACTTTTAGAGTTATATATACCTTCATGGTTACGTGGTGGTTATAAGGTTGTGTAAAATATGTGAACCCATTGTGAAAGGGTTAAAACAGACCATTTAGGGAAGAAATTAAGCTTTATGATTGTGAGAAAGAAAATAATCACAGCCTTCAGACAATAGTTTGAAGTTTGAAAATTATAAAACAAAAAATGCTGTTAGTTCAATTTTATAGTTTTTAATACCATATAGCTTTGATAATTCTGTGTATTCAAAACAAGTGTTGATAAAATTTATATTCAAATACAATTCTTAATTTGAACATTTCAGTTATAGTTTTATTTTGTATGTGATTTGAGATGAGGGATCAGAAAGAATTTTTGAAAGAGTCATGTCTTCATAATAAACGTGAAGTGTACCTGACTAGAAATGGTTAAGTATATGTCCATAATGGTATTTGTTGTTGGGCTTTGTAAATATTGTTTATTTCTTTTTATGCTCACACTATACACATACACACACACACACAGAAACATATATGTACCTGTATAGTGGAATATCAGTATTTCATACGTCTGAAATGTTATATTTCATAGCTGAGAATATTAATGAATTAGTGCTGAGAGTAATAATTGAAAATATATAATTGTTTCATTTTTATGTAATAATTTTATAGTTATTGTTTTAGAACAAGTCCTTACCAGCTAAAAAAATTTTAAATTTGTTAATTTAACTTCATTGACAGTTTATCTATCATTCTTCAGAGAAAGGTTCTTAATGAAAAGAAATAATGAAATAAAATCTTTTACAGGATAATTTATTATTATCTTAGTTTGAATACCTAGTGTTCTGGTCTAAAGTTTTCCTCCAAAAAGCCCTTTAATAAATTAGGAGAAAATTCTTTTAGAATCACCTGAAAGTGAAATTGAAACTATTGTAGATTGAAAAGCATTGGTTTCCAAACTTATGTAAAATAAAATAAAAACCTGATGTCAGTTTGGTACAATTATGAAAGTATTTAAGTGTTTGAATAAATTAACTACGGCAGAAATGTTGAGTTTTTTAGCAGTTTAATTAGAATACCTTGTGGTAATTTTCTTCTTTTTTTCAGGATTTAGGGCTGTTTTCTTCTGTATGTGGCATGAAAAGTTGGCCTGGCCCTATGGACATTGCTAACACGATTCATTGATAAAACTGAAACTACTCATACCAGTCATTCATTTTGTTGATACTTAGTTTTACAAATAATCTTCTTATTGGCGTTATTATTTGTTTATTAAAAACTTTTACAAGTTTAGCATTCATAAGACCATTAGAAACATTCATAATAAAAGATTTGGTACTAAGAACATTCTGAGTCATATCTTTGCTATTGAGATACATTTTCATAAATGGAATATTTGTACACTGTCTTTGTGTCATTTAATTAAAATCGGTAAGTTTGGTTTACATAAGAAAAAAATATGTTGGTAGTATCAGCAAAGTGATTGAGACTGATTGGTTGTGTATGTGCAATTAGCCTGCTCCATTGGAAAAAAAAGTCCAGTGCCTCTGGTTTGTAGTAAACATTTTTAGCCAGTATTTTTGTTTTTCACTTTATAGAGAGATATGTGATGGTCAAAAAAGTAGCTTCAGATTTGTTTTGCCTGCTTATCTTTACCACGTGATCCATCCATCTTCCAAACCATGTAAAGTATTTAACAGAAAAAATACCAATCTTTAAAATGTCTTATATAAGAGTCAAATTATTATAATGTCATTAATCATTTGCAATCATTCTAGAAGTCAGTATTTTCATTTGCATGCGATATTTCAAAATTAACACAAATCCTCTGGTTCAAGAGTACCAAACTTGATGTTGAAGCATATTGAAAGTAATAATCCAAACAGTCAGTGTAGTTTTTAAATAAGAATTACTAATTTCCAGCAAAATACATATGTTTTCATATATGCAGTGTAATTACACACTTTCCCCTCATGTAGATGTGCTTTACAGTCAGCTTCACTACAATATAACACTGTTATTTGAGTTTTTAAATTTGCTTGTGATCTTCATCCCAAACATTTCAGTACTTTTATTTTGCAAACAGTTTGAGAGGTATGGCATTTTTATGATCAAGACAGTGTAAGGAAAGTAAAACTATTCCATATCTTGTTTTATATTTAATTTTTTCAAAGAAAGTAGAAATGACAGCCAGTGAATGTGTGGATGTTTGTGAGCATGGATAGTGTAGGTGCACTGGTTAATTTAGCTTAAATATCAACTTCCTGTAATTTTAAGTGAATCATTTTAAACAATAATTTTTTTTCAGCCCACTTTTTACTTGGTCAAATTTATTGCAAGTTTGTTTTAACAATTATGCAGTGTCTTTTACCAATGAAATAATGAATGGCTGATGAAAATGTTTAGATTTGTTACTTGTAGAAGTTATAAAATATGTTATTATTTATTTTGAATGAGGAATGAAAATAAATTTCTTCTTTTTTTCAAAGACTTTTTATTTGCATATAAAAAATTATTATACTAAAATCTTCTTTTTGTACAATGTGTGTGTGTGTGTGTTAATGGTTTTGTCTAGCATCATGGCTTAAGTCACTGAAATATATTTTTGAAGCGGATTAGTAAAATTGTAAAGTTTCTTCCAGTTCTTTGGGCTTGTAACCGGAAAATTAATTTCAAACACTTTACACATACTCACTCACTAATTAGAAATGTTTGATAGCCACTGTCATTTCGCTAGAACCATTGTATATCAGTTTGTTCAAACAGTAACAGTGTTGCTGTAATGGCTTCTTTTTTTTTAGACAATACTTTTAAATTATTTACGAAGAAACAAGAATCATTTAAAGAAATAATTATCTGTTAGAATTAATTGAGAAGATTTCCTTCATATAATATTCATGTGGTTTAATTTTACAAGTTAGCTTACAAAAGTAAAAATAATAGTTTTTTTCATTTTTTTCATCATGCTCATCCATTTATTAAGAAACATCAGTTTGGAAGATGCCAGTTGATTTCAACTTTTATGGCATGAATGAGCATGCATGGTGGTTTCAGTGAATTCGAGTAAACTTTGGGTATTTAGTGACCTTGTAATGATATATTTTTTGTTTTTTCTCAGGTCACCTGCTTTTCTATCTCTTTAGACAAAGACAGAGATCGAAGAAGAAGTGATCGCAAGAGGAGCCGTTCCCGTAGTAAAGACAGGCGCAAAAAGTCACGTTCAAAATCTCGTGATAGAGGCAACAGGTAGTCTTGAAATAATTTTTAATCTGATATTAACATATTGGTGGTAAATGAGAACTGATATATATATATACACACACACATACATACATATTTTTTGCATTATAGTTGAGATATATAGATTTGATGTATTTTTCATCCATTTTCATAAAATAGAACTGCTTTGCATTGAAAAAAAAAAAGAGTTAAAAACAATTATACAAAGGTTTTGGCAGACAAAAGGTTGTTATGGAGCTTAGAAAACCTGGAAATTTAGTGTACCAATTTTCAAGTCGTAATCAAACTTACATAGTAGCAAGAACATTTTTTCTGTACATATTTTCTATAACATTATATTATAGAAATTTCTATAATAGTACAGTGAGCCATGTTGTCAGATTTAAAAACTACTAAAAATAAATTTGTTCTTTTTACTCACTCAAAGAAATAAGTAGTAGTTCATTGTCTGGTTTGTAAAATGATTTGGGGAGTTGGTGCAATAATTATATATGTTAAAACAAAAATCTTTTCACAGTAAATTTTTAAATCCTCAAAAAAAAAAAGTAAAAACCAGTGTTACAAAAGCTACAGCTAACTTTTAACCAAAGTTAAAAAAGTTGGATATACCATTGATGTAGTTTTCCAGTATTGCAACTATAGTATAATTGCTCAAAATGAATTATTTTGTATGAACTGTTAAAAAAAATAAAACTTTTTGAAGCCCAAATGATCTCACTTCATTAACTTTCTTTATAGCTTAATCTTCTTACTAACTTTTTAAACTTTCCTTAGGTATTTGTGACATACTTCTAAGACAACATAGTGCTTATGCTCTATTATTTTAAATTTATTTTAGCTAAGATATCCACATCAAATCATAGCCTAAAAACAATATAAGTAATTATCCTGGTTTGAGGTGAAATGTTTTAATGATAAGTTGTTAAAATGAGAACAAAATAAAATACTTAATTCTCTTCATACAGCTTGGTCACTTTGACCGACCTTGCAACTGCTATGTAACCACCAGGTAACCATGAAAGTATACATTCTATAACTTTTAATGTAGTAAGCAAGTGTATCTTCACAAAACTTAGCAAGCTTTCATTAAATATTACATGTCTTGTGTATCAAAAATTATATTTTCTT